GTAAGTTGGGTTATAGAAGTTACATTATGAAGGAGAGGAATAGGTTTGGTTATGTAAGTTACGTTAAATTAGGTTAGGTTATGTAAGGTTACATTAGGTTAGGTATATTACGTTAAGTTAGTAAGGTTAGGTAATGTAAGATAAGTTAGGTTATGTAAATTAATTAAAAAAAGGACATTAGAATGGATTCACCAAAGTTGTTCAATATCAACCAATATTTTTTGACTAGTTGTATAATAAAAGGGCTGCAATTGTTCCACGTTTTAGTACTGCAGTAAATAACAAGGGAGATTTTTATTTTTTTGTTTTTTTCAACGAATTTTACACATTTTCAAGTGTAAATAAACAACTACACCTTTCAGGTATAATCATTCTATGACACGTTTCCGACACATTATCATATAATAAAGGATTGGTAGTTAGATAGTTTCCAAAACATCTTTAGTTTTCCTAATACAAATAGTCAAAGTTCCCCCATAAAATTATGCAAATATGTAACTTCAATTGCTATTATAAAATACATAAATAAACATAGAGAAACAAAACAACTACCGATTTTAGCAACATACACTCTACATATAAGGTGTAAGTTTCATGTTAATGGAATAAAAAATGAAAGAGTTATTTGAACGTTTATGTTTCTTGAAAATATATAATAAATTAATAAAGTCTAAGGTGCTGCCATCTGTGGCTGAGGTTGACATCAACCAGTTTTCTCCAAAATTGGCACCCTTACATATAGGCTTATGTGCAGTCAGGTGTATAAGTTTCATGCAAATCGTCCGATAAAAAAAAAAATGAAAAAATAATAACTTAATTTTTTCTAATAAAACTAATTATAATATTTTTTTAATATATGCTATTGTGATAGCTGAGCGTCATAGACATGATTTCAGTTGACACTTGTGTTTGATAATCGTTTTTGAGCATTTTGGAATAATTTTGACACCTACTTCAATATTTTTTTTCTCCCTTCCTATTTATGCTACGATGCTGAGACTTGGGCCAGATGAAACACTTTTCATATACAACTAGTCAAAAAAATCTGATTGAAATCGAACGAGTTTTCATTTATTATCTATTTTGGGCAAATTTGGATCTAATGCCCCCAAGTTAAGTTAGGTTAGGTTATATAAGTTCGTTAAGTTAAGTTAGGTTATGCAAGTTAAGTTATGTAATATAGGTTTAGTTAAGTTAGGTTAGGTTAAGTTAGGCTAGGTTAGGTAAGGTACATTATGTTAAATTAGGTTAGTTAGGTGAGTTACGTTTAAGTTAGCAAGGTTAGGATAGGTTAGGTTATGTAAGTTAAGTTAGGTTAGGTAAGTTATGTTATGTCAGGTTATGTAAGTTTAGTTAAGTGAGGTTATGTAAGTTAGATTAGGTTATGTAAGTTAAAAAAGGTTGGTTTGGTTAGGTAAGTTATGTTAAGTTAGTAAGGATAGGTTAGGTTATGTAAGTTATGATCAATCAGTTAGGAGAGGTTAGGTAAGTTTGATTAGTTAAGTTACATTTGGTTAGGTTAGCTTATGCAAGTAAGGTTAGGTATGTATGGGCAAGATGGGTTGGGTAGATAAGCCATGATAAGTTACATTAGGGTAAGTTAGTACAGGTAAGTTAGGTTATGTAGGGTTATGCAGTGATGTTCAGAGATCAGCTTTGCTGAACGAAGGAGTTAAAGAATCGCTTTGATGAACGAAAGAATTAGAGAACAGCCTTAATTTTTTTTTTTTTTTTTTGAGATATATACAAGAGTTGTTACATTCTTGTACAGCCACTAGTACGCGCAGCGTTTCGGGCAAGTCCTTAATCCTATGGTCCCTGGAATACGATCCCCTGCCGCGAAGAATCGTTTTTTCATCCAAGTACACATTTTACTGTTGCGTTAAACAGAGGCTACAGTTAAGGAATTGCGCCCAGTAAATCCTCCCCGGCCAGGATACGAACCCATGACAAAGCGCTCGCGGAACGCCAGGCGAGTGTCTTACCACTACACCACGGAAACTGTAATGAACAAAGGAGTTAAATAACAACATTGAAGAACGAAGGTGAGTAAGAAAATAACTTTGATGACTGTGATTAACTTTTGATGGCTCTGAGAATAACTTTTGATGGCTCTGAAAATAAGTGGTGAAAACATGAGTAGTATTTTGATGTCCTCGAGTGTGTCTTTGAAGTCTTTGGATGTGTTATTGATGCCTTTGAGTGTGTTATTGATGTCTTTCAGTGTGTTATTGACGTCCATTAGTGTGTTATTGGTGTCTTCGAGTGTGTCCTTGACGGCTTTGTGAGTGTTATTGATGTCTTGAAGAGTAACTTTGGTGTCTTTGAGTGTGTTATTGATGTCTTGAAGAGTAACTTTGGTGTCTTTGAGTGTGTTATTGATGTCTTGAAGAGTAACTTTGGTGTCTTTGAGTGTGTTATTGATGTCTTGAAGAGTAACTTTGGTGTCTTTGAGTGTGTTATTGATGTCTTGAAGAGTAACTTTGGTGTCTTTGAGTGTGTTATTAATGTCTCGAAGAGTGACTGACTATTTTTCGTATTCCAAGACGTATAATGTTAGTTACGAATGTGCTGAAAGAAGTTACATATGACAATTTTTAGTTAAGGGGAGAATAATTTAGTTAAGAAAAGTGTTGAAAAGATGATGAAAGTGACTATTTTCAGTTGATTTGCTAATATGTTTAGTTAAGAAATGATGAACGTGGCTATTTTCAGTTGATTGTGTATGGATAAAGTTAGTTATGAACAGTGTTGAAAAGTTTCCTTTTACTATTTTTAGCGAAAAGAAAGATTATTTTAGTTAAGAAACGATAAGAAAACCTGATGAACATGGCTATTTTCAATTGATTGACAAATAATTTTAGTTACAAAACGACAAGAAAAGATGATGAACCGGCTATTTTCAGTTGATTGACGAATATTTTAGTTAAAAAATGATGAACGTGACTATTTTTTAGTTGACTGACAAGTAATTGTAATTAAGAAACGACTAGAAAAGTATGTCTTGGTAAATTTGTACTATATGGAAGAAAACAATTATACATATAATTTAAAAAAAAATGTAAGAGAATGCGATAACACAGTGAACATACGGGGAACATGACAAAGAACACAGAGAACATGTAAGCAATTGAACACTGAACTTCTGAAAAAAATTCTGAGAACATGATAAAGAAAATATAAAATCTGATTTGAACTTGCAGAGAACATGGAGAATATGACAAAGAACAGAAAAACATGGAAGAGAATGCAAAGAACACAGTGAACATTAAGGGAATGTATACAAATACGGTATGATGATTGGTAATAGCTGTATTTCATGTTCTTGAGGGTGCAGAGTTGTGAATGAATCTGGGGAAGGGGGGAGATGAAGGGGGCAGCAGGGGAAAATGAGGGCGAAAGGGAGTTAGGGGAGGAAAGGGAGGGGGAAAGTTAAAGGGCAGGGGGGAAGGTAAGGGATGGGAAGGTAAGGGGGGTAAGGTAAGGGTGTTGAGAGATAAGGGAGGGAAAAGGTAAGATGTGATATGAGCATGTGATTATTATTATTATTACCGTGTGAATGGTTATTTACATAGCTGAGTAAACAAAGGGTATTGAAGCAGAGGTTATGTTTATTATGATAAGGTGATAGACTGGGGAGCGTCTTGATTTGAACTAATTAAGTTTGGTTAACTAAGGCGGAGGACAAGAGTTGGAGTTCAGTATTTACATTTTCTTTACATAATCAATTAGAATTATTACTGCTTTAAATTTCAGGGAAATTGACAGGGTATTAACGAAGATACGCAAATGCATTAAGGTGGGGGCGAGAGCTGGAGCTCCGTATCTAAATTATTGTATTTTACTGTCTGAAATAAGGTGGGTTTAAATTTCAGGGAACTTGGAGTGATAGTAACAAAGTTGTACAAATGGTTGAAGCGGAGGAGAAGAACTGAAACTCGGTAACTGCCTTGGACATATTTACTGCATCTGAAATTACTCTGTTTTAAATTTTAGAGGATTTGGTTAGCAACTAAAGAAGATAAGAGAGGAAACTAAGATGGGGGACGGGAGCTGAAACTTGCTTACTGGCTCGATCTGATTTACTACGTCCGAAAAATACTGGGTTTAAATCTTGAAGAAAATGAGATGATAGTAAAGAAGTTAAACAAATAAAGTAAGACGGGAAACAAGAGCTGGAGTTTGGCAACTAAATTGTCATATTGTACTACGTCTGAAATAGAGCGGTGTTAAATTTCAGGGAAATTGATTTGGTATTAAGGAAGATATGAAAAGGGGTTAAGGTGGGGACAGGAGCTGGAGTTCGGAAATTATTTGAATTTATTGTACTATATGACTGAAATATGAAAACTTTATCCCAAGTTTTAAATTGGGATAAAATTGGGTTATTAACAGCAGTAGTAGTAGGCATCCATCAGTCTCAGGAGACTATGGAGTTGCGCTCTGGTTGTCGGTCTGGAGTGGCCTCACCAGGGCGCAAAGCCAGGGTAGGTTGATTCGGGGGAGAAGCTGTTACCCAGGCAGCAGGTCCCCCCTCTCCACGGCGCTAAAAGTCTCCAATGGAAAGGCATACGCCAATACGATTGGTTCCAGCGCCGTCGCAGGAACTGTGAGTTCCGGGGTTGACCTCGAAGGTGGTGAAGAAGGGCACAGGGACCTCCAACCCCGGAGACCGCCGTGGTCAGGGCTGGAGAAGAACCACCCCATGAATTTTTTTTTAATTTCTCCCATAAGAATCCCTTAAGAACGAATGAGTGATTTTTGTCTTGAATTTTCCCCATAAGAAAACATTAAGTCCAAATGAGTGATTGGCCAAAAAAATCTCAATCACTCATACGACGTACTCCCTATTACTGAGGGGAAGGGGTGAGTGGAGGGTGTCAGGGAAGGGGAGAAGCTTGTGAGGGGAGGGGTGAAGGGAGGGTGTGAAGGGGACGGGAGTGAGGGGACCGGAGTGAGGGGTTGATCAGTGTGGCAGGAGCTGGCAGTGCGGGCAGACGTCCTGGCTATCTGGTGGCTGTGTCTGGCCTATCACTGTGAGCCCCGGCGCCCTTGACGCTCCAGTACACTTGTTGCTGCCCAGTACACCACTCTCATAACTCACCAGTAGCCCCCTCACCGCTCTCATAACTCCCCAGTACCCCCCCCCTCACCGCTCTCATAACTCACCAGTACCCCCCTCACCGCTCTCATAACTCACCAGAACCCCCCCTTACCGCTCTCATATCTCACCAGTCCCCCCCCTCACCGCTCTCATAACTCACCAGAACCCCCCCTTACCGCTCTCATAACTCACCAGTACCCCCTCACCGCTCTCATAACTCACCAGTACCCCCTCACCGCTCTCATAACTCACCAGTACCCCCCTCACCGTTCTCATAACTCACCAGTAGCCCCCTCACCGCTCTCATAACTCACCAGTACCCCCCTCATCGTTCTCATAACTCACCAGTAGCCCCCTCACCGTTCTCATAACTCACCAGTACCCCCTCACCTCTCTCATAACTCACCAGTAGCCCCCTCACCGCTCTCATAACTCACCAGTACCCCCCTCACCGTTCTCATAACTCACCAGTACCCCCTCACCTCTCTCATAACTCACCTAGCTAACTCTTTCACTAACAAATTAGTTGACAAATCTGAGTGATAATCTTTCACGATTTGAAAACCGCAATGATTGTTGTATGAGAAGACTGGAGGTTGTGTTGACCATAAGTGTACGAGGCTGATGTTACGGGCAGCCCACAAGCACGTGTGTGACGGCATGGTGATGGTGGTGGTGGTGGTGACGCTGGCAGCCCTCGTCACAGCAGGTAAGCAACCATTCCCTACATGTATGGTGGTGGTGGTGCTGTTGGTGCTATTTTTTGTATTTATTTTCTACCACAGATGTTGCCCTACAGTTATAATGGTCACAGTTTTGTCAACCCTGGAGAGGGATAGAGATGCGTCCTCCACCACCCAGCAGTGAGCACTCAGTGTAGTGAGCTAACACTGATAATCACATTACATACAAACACTGACGTGGTGGGGGGGGTGGGGTACATTATCAGGGCACAAGATATGTTCTGTGACAGTACAGGAGGCCGTTGTGTACTTGACCACACAATGTGATTAATGCAGCCCATCCTACTCTTAAGATAGTACTGACCATCCTACTCTTAAGATAGTACTGACCATCCTACTCTTAAGACAGTACTGACCATCCTACTCTTAAGATAGTACTGACCATCCTACTCTTAAGACAGTACTGACCATCCTACTCTTAAGATAGTACTGACCATCCTACTCTTAAGATAGTACTGACCATCCTACTCTTAAGATAGTACTGACCATCCTACTCTTAAGATAGTACTGACCATCCTACTCTTAAGACAGTACTGACCATCCTACTCTTAAGATAGTACTGACCATCCTACTCTTAAGACAGTACTGACCATCCTACTCTTAAGATAGTACTGACCATCCTACTCTTAAGATAGTACTGACCATCCTACTCTTAAGACAGTATTGACCATCCTACTCTTAAGATAGTACTGACCATCCTACTCTTAAGACAGTACTGACCATCCTACTCTTAAGATAGTACTGACCATCTTACTCTTAAGATAGTACTGACCATCCTCCTCTTAACATAGTTCTGACCATCCTACTCTTAAGATAGTACTGACCATCTTACTCTTAACATAGTACTGACCATCCTCCTCTTAACATAGTTCTGACCATCCTACTCTTAAGATAGTACTGACCATCCTCCTCTTAAGATAGTACTGACCATCCTACTCTTAAGATAGTACTGACCATCCTCCTCTTAAGTTAGTACTGACCATCCTACTTTTAAGATAGTACTGACCATCCTACTCTTAAGATAGTACTGACCATCCTACTCTTAAGATAGTACTGACCATCCTCCTCTTAAGTTAGTACTGACCATCCTACTCTTAAGAGAGTACTGACCATCCTACTCTTAAGATAGTACTGACCACCCTACTCTTAAGATAGTACTGACCATCCTACTCTTAAGATAGTACTGACCATCCTACTCTTAAGATAGTACTGACCATCCTACTCTTAAGATAATACTGACCATCCTATTCTTAAGATAGTACTGACCACTGACCATCCTCCTCTTAAGATAGTACTGACCATCCTCTTCTTAAGATAGTACTGACCATCCTCCTCTTAAGTTAGTTCTGACCATCCTCCTCTTAAGATAGTACTGACCATCCTCTTCTTAAGATAGTACTGACCACCCTACTCTTAAGATAGTACTGACCATCCTACTCTTAAGATAGTACTGACCATCCTACTCTTAAGATAGTACTGACCATCCTCCTCTTAAGTTAGTACTGACCATCCTACTCTTAAGATAGTACTGACCATCCTACTCTTAAGATAGTACTGACCATCCTACTCTTAAGATAGTACTGACCATCCTCCTCTTAAGTTAGTACTGACCATCCTACTCTTAAGATAGTACTGACCATCTACTCTTAAGATAGTACTGACCACCCTACTCTTAAGATAGTACTGACCATCCTACTCTTAAGATAGTACTGACCATCCTACTCTTAAGATAGTACTGACCATCCTACTCTTAAGATAATACTGACCATCCTATTCTTAAGATAGTACTGACCACTGACCATCCTCCTCTTAAGATAGTACTGACCATCCTCTTCTTAAGATAGTACTGACCATGCTCCTCTTAAGTTAGTACTGACCATCCTCCTCTTAAGATAGTACTGACCATCCTCTTCTTAAGATAGTACTGACCACCCTACTCTTAAGATAGTACTGACCAACCTACTCTTAAGATAGTACTGACCATCCTACTCTTAAGATAGTACTGACCACCCTACTCTTAAGATAGTACTGACCATCCTCCTCTTAAGATAATACTGACCATCCTATTCTTAAGATAGTACTGACCACTGACCATCCTCCTCTTAAGATAGTACTGACCACCCTACTCTTAAGATAGTACTGACCATCCTCCTCTTAAGATAATACTGACCATCCTATTCTTAAGATAGTACTGACCACTGACCATCCTCCTCTTAAGATAGTACTGACCACTGACCATCCTCCTCTTAAGATAGTACTGACCGTCCTCCTCTTAAGATAGTACTGACCATCCTACTCTTAAGATAGTACTGACCATCCTATTCTTAAGATAGTACTGACCATCCTATTCTTAAGATAGTACTGACCATCGTACTCTTAAGATAGTACTGACCATCCTATTCTTAAGATAGTACTGACCATCCTACTCTTAAGATAGTACTGACCATCCTATTCTTAAGATAGTACTGCCCATCCTCCTCTTAAGATAGTACTGACCATCCTATTCTTAAGATAGTACTGACCATCCTCCTCTTAAGATAGTACTGACCATCCTCCTCTTAAGATAGTACTGACCATCCTCCTCTTAAGATAGTACTGACTATCCTATTCTTAAGATAGTACTGACCATCCTATTCTTAAGATAGTACTGACCATCCTCCTCTTAAGATAGTACTGACCATCCTCCTCTTAAGATAGTACTGACCATCCTCCTCTTAACATAGTACTGACCATCCTACTCTTAAGATAGTACTGACCATCCTCCTCTTAGGATAGTACTGACCATCCTCCTCTTAAGACAGTACTGACCATCCTACTCTTAAGATAGTACTGACCATCCTATTCTTAAGATAGTACTGACCATCCTTCTCCTAAGATAGTACTGACCGTCCTCCTCTTAAGATAGTACTGACCATCCTACTCTTAAGATAGTACTGACCATCCTCCTCTTAAGATAGTACTGACCATCCTCCTCTTAACATAGTACTGACCATCCTCCTCTTAACATAGTACTAACCATCCTATTCTTAAGATAGTACTGACCATCCTACTCTTAAGACAGTACTGACCATCCTACTCTTAAGACAGTACTGACCATCCTACTCTTAAGACAGTACTGACCATCCTACTCTTAAGATAGTACTGACCATCCTCCTCTTAAGACAGTACTGACCATCCTACTCTTAAGACAGTACTGACCATCCTACTCTTAAGATAGTACTGACCATCCTCCTCTTAAGATAGTACTGACCATCCTACTCTTAAGATAGTTCTGACCATCCTCCTTTTAAGACAGTACTGACCGTCCTCCTCTTAAGACAGTACTGACCATCCTACTCATAAGACAGTACTGACCATCCTACTCTTAAGATAGTACTGACCATCCTCCTCTTAAGACAGTACTGACCGTCCTCCTCTTAAGACAGTACTGACCATCCTACTCATAAGACAGTACTGACCATCCTACTCTTAAGATAGTACTGACCATCCTCCTCTTAAGACAGTACTGACCGTCCTCCTCTTAAGACAGTACTGACCATCCTACTCTTAAGATAGTACTGACCATCCTACTCTTAAGATAGTACTGACCATCCTACTCTTATGATAGTACTGACCATCCTCCTCTTAAGATAGTACTGACCATCCTCCTCTTAAGATAATACTGACCATCCTACTCTTAAGACAGTACTGACCATCCTACTCTTAAGACAGTACTGACCATCCTACTCTTAAGACAGTACTGACCATCCTACTCTTAAGATAGTACTGACCATCCTACTCTTAAGATAATACTGACCATCCTACTCTTAAGATAATACTGACCATCCTACTCTTAAGACAGTACTTATAGTAACAATGTGCACCATTCTACATATATTGACGTAATGGAAAATTAGATAGTAGAAATTAGTACTATTAAATTTGGACAAACCGGAAAAGGTTTTATATTTATGTTGGAAATAAAACCAAACCAAACCATCGTAGGCCTAACACACGCTATCTGATCTTCTTTAGATGAGATCTTATCTTGAGATGATTTCGGGGCTTTTAGTGTCCCCGCGGCCCGGTCCTCGACCAGGCCTCCCGGTCCTAATGCCTATTATATTACTGTAGGTGCTTCACTCAGCCTAATAATATTTAAGAAATTTGTTTAGCTTTAATTGTGTCCGCTCTATAGAGTTAATAGTACAAGATTATATTATCTTATTGTTCATTATGTCAATATATATGTATCATGGTGGCCATAGTTACGATATTTTTATCTAAACTGGTGCATGGTTGGGTTGATGGGCAACTACTAAGGTGGTGGTGGTGGTGGTGGTGGTGGTGGTGGTGATGGTGGTTGAGGCGGGAGTGGTGTTGGTGGTGATGGTGGGAATGGTGTTGGTGGTGATTGTGGTAGTGATGTTGCTGGTGGTGGTGGTGGTGGTGGTGATGGTAGTAGTGGTGTTGGTGTGCGATGGTGGTAGTGATGTTGGTGGCGAGGGTGGTTGTGATGTTGGTGGTGATAATGGTGATGTTAGTGGTGTTGGTGGTGGAAGTATTGGTGGTGATGATGGTAGTGATGTAGTTGATGGTGTTGGTGGTGTTTGTGGTGATTATGGTAGTGCTGTTAGTGGCTGATAGAGGTAGTGGTAGTGGTGGTGGTAGTGGTAGTGGTGGTGATGGTGGTAGTGGTGGCGGTGGTGATGATAGTGGTACAGGTGTTGGTCGTAGTGGTGGTGGTGGTGATGGGTGTAGTGGTTGTGGTGGTGGTGATGGGTGTAGTGGTTGTGGTGGTGGTGGTGGAAGTGGTACTGGGGTTGGTGGTGACGGTGGTAGTGGTGACGGTGGTAGTGGTGCTGGTGGTGAAAAGTAGTATTCGTGTTGGTGGTGATTGTAGAAGTGTTGGTGGTGGTGATAGTGGTAGTGGTGTTAATGGCTGATAGTTATAGTGGTGTTGGTGGTGGTGTTGTTGGTGATGTTG